TTGCTAAATTGCTATTGGTCTACGCTTACATGTGAATTGTGATAGGTTAGAGCAAGTTCAATAAGTTCAATAGTATAGCTCACTACTAGCGCCAATTTACATATAGCCAATCTAATAGCTAATTCATACAATAGTTGCTTACTATACAATTAATATATAGTCTCACATGTCATACACACATTGTGTCTTGGAGTCCGTGCTGTGGCTGGCTATAAATCTGTAGCCCGCTGCTTTTCTCTCTCATCTTTTATCTTATTAAAATATGTTTATAGCGGGCTAAATAGCATGCTATTGTACCTACTTTAATGAGGTCTATAAAGAAGTAATAGTAATTGGCCTGCCTTCTATTATTATATGAAGTATTTTTAACTGAAGTTTTAGATGGCATTGCCAATTTTACCGTCGTCAGCGGGTTGTACTATTGAACCTGCTCTAAGCGGAGATACAATAATAGACTATAAGGCGGCTACAAGCTTATGTGGATGAGATAAGAGATGAGAGAGAAGAGAAGCGGGTTACGGATTTGTAGCCAGCTACAGCACGAACTCCAAAATACTGTGTGTATGTCATGTGGGACCAATTATTAATGATGCAGTATACCCCCTCCATCTAATTTTGATAGTCATATTTCATCTTGACATAATGACCAACGATAAGTAATTATCCTTATCATCCATTTAAATATACTACTAGTTATTCCTCGTAAACAAGAGATTTATTAATATTTACATTTCTCGATGCCCATGTAACCAATCTTATGGGGAAGAATGGAGAGTCACGGATTAAATCCGAGAAAATCATTAAGAAGATAGATGGTTGGATTGAAATATGCATATCAAAAGTAAATTTTTCAGATCCGAAAATATGCCTATCAAAAGTAGATTGAGAGAGTATATTTGTAGCTAAATATTATATGAGTTAACTATTAGATTGACTATATATGATTTGTAGTAAGTAGTTAGCTATACTATTAAACTTGCTCTAAGACACACTTAGATATGTATGCTTCTTCCCAATTAACCTAACAGGCCAACGTTAGCCAAACCACCAGTACAGTTTATCTTTATGTCCCTACTAGTACAAACTACACGTCTACACCTACGTCGAGTGGCATCGATGCATGGTACGTTACCTACATGGTGCCATTCTCACCTAGGAGGCTAGGAGTATTTCTATACTTATGACATACGGAGTAGGTTACATCGTACTACTTTCTCTATTTCACATGGTAAGATATATATTTTGAATTTTAAATAGATACATATGGATCTATGCATGTACTTCATATATATATATATATATATATATATATATATATAAGTGTTTAAATTTATATAATATTAATGAATCTAGACGAGGTACAAAGAGAGAAAATTATCTTACAATATAGAACGGATGAGTACTAATATTTTGGCATATAGACAAAATTTAACAAGCAAACAAAGGACTTAAGGGTGAGAGACCTTGTGCAGCAATGGCATAAAATAGAACTGGAGCTTTGACCATAATTTCCTCTGTTTTTTTACTCTGTCGGCCACGTACGATAGACTTACTAAGGGCAACCACAATGTATGAAAAAGATGACCTTAAGGCAATGATTGCACTTGTAAAGTGAGCCATATATATTGTGGAAAGTAGCATTAGCTTAGGGTGCACCTTATGCTTAAATTCTACCACAAGCAAAAAGAAAATATTTTTTCTCTCTCATTCACTTCATGAACAAGAGATGAAACAATTATTTTTCCATTCTATGTGGGCCATCTTGTGGCTAAATTCTAACCATAGCATTGTGGGTATGGCTATAACAATGGCTCACTATTCATAGGGCCCACCTTAAGGTTACACTACACCACAAACATTGAGGATGCCCTTAGTAAGTCTATCGTACTTGACCGACAGAGTAAAAAAACGGAGGAAATTATTGTCAAACCTCCGGTTCTATTTTATGCCATTGCTGCACAAGGTCTCTCACCCTTAATTCCAATGCTAGACATTAGAAACGTTTGGTAGTAGTGTAGCACCAACTAAAGTCCTGTGATCTTGTCTTGTCACTTGTCAGTTCTGCTTCCTCTCACGATTATCTTCCAAGTACATCCCAACAAGTACTCCTACTAGAGACCAACTTAAAAAACAAATCATAAATTAGTTATCCCCGCAAAAAAAGGACAAATCATTAGTTAGTTGCATGCTAATAATTATTGGCACATAGGACAGAAATAAAATCAAGAAGAAATATAAAAAGAAAAAAAGAAAGGAAAATCGCATCAATACATACAGAGTATATAGCTACCTACCTGAATTTGGGTCATGTACATCGAGACGTTTAGACAAGGCCTGATTGGCCCAGCTCTCATGAAAGCAACGGGGAATAAGTACATCTGAGGTCCCTTAACTTTCCACTGAATCCGATTTTCGTCCCTAAACTCGAAAACCAGATACAACCGATCTTGAACTGTCAAAACCAGTGTAAACTAGGTCCCTCAACGGTTTGGAAAGCGGTTTTGGTTGACATGGCACTTACGTTGTTGGTTTGAGTAGGTCTTCGTCCCACGTGGCATTGACGTGGCGCTTACGTGGAAATTGGATCCCCAAAAAGTAATAAAAACAGTGTGGTCCCACTATTTTTATTATTTTTTCGGGATCCAATTGCCATGTAAGCGCTACGTTAATGCCACGTGGGACAAGGATCTAGTCAAAGGAGCCACGTAGACGCCACGTCATCCAAACCTGGGCACGATACTGCTGAGGGACCTCGTCTGCACGGTTTTGTAAGTTGGGGGATACGTTGTATCCGTTTTTTTTTTGAACTAAGGATGAAAATCAGACTGAACGACAAATTGAAGGACCGCAAGTGAACTTATTCCATGCTACACAGATCAAATACCCTGACTTTCGTTGGACAAGGTCCAACTTATTTTTGGGCCTTCATCCCTTGTCCTACTGGGCCCTAGAAGGAAAAGCCCAGACCGTGCCCAACGGCCCGCACCGGCGACATTTCCAGTCACACCATGAGATATCTATGCCGGCGCCGCCGTCCGCCGGCGGTGTGTTGCTCCTACTGCACACCGTAACTGTAGGCAACTCGGCGCTAAAACATATACTATCTGTAGACGCCTTGACTAGGCAAGTTGGCTATATATGTATCTAAACAAAAGGGATATATGAGCTCATGGGTTTGCATTTGCAGGCGATACATGGCCATGGGGGCCGTCAGGGGTGGAGCTAGTATAATCAGAGGGTGCCCAGGAACCCGGTTCAAAAATATTTTTACCTATAGTTTATCTATTTTCACCATATATATACCCCGTCAATATAAACTTAGGTATCTGTACCAAGCTAAATTTAATTCAAACCAGAGTAAAGCAAACGAGTAGAAACCCTTCATTTTGTTATAGCTCCGTCCCAGGGCCGTGCCAGGAGGGCAGCCGCTATTATCAACGACAGGCGAATCTGCGTGCCACGGCGTCGAGCACCGAGGCGGTCGTGGTTGATCTATCCGGCCGACATCGTCTGGTGATCCTAGATGTGTAGGGGAGGTACGTGGTTCGCAGCTGGTTGCTCGATCGGCACATGATCTTGCCTCTCTCCGATTCGGTCTCCACTTTCCCATGGTTTAACAGTCTTTCTCCTTCGTCTTTTCAGTGTCGCAAGACCAAGCTAGTAGTAGAAGGCTACAACAAGTGAAAGAAGTGGAGTATTGTTTATCTTTCGTACACCCTCCGTTCTAAAATAATAGACTATTTCTTATTTGAAATTTTTTAGTTAGTATTTTTATTATTGTTAGATGATAAAATATGAATAGTACTTTATGTTTAACTAATTATTTTTAATTTTTTTATAAATTTTTCAAATAAGACGGACGGTCTCCGTCCCAAAATAAGTGCAGCCGTGAATATCCGTGTCTAACATTTGACCGTCCGTCTTATTTGAAAAATTTGTGAAAAAAATAAAAAAAAAAATTAGTCACACATAAAGTACTATTCATATTTTAGCATCTAATAGCAATAAAAATACTAATCATAAAAAAATTTTAAATAAGACGAACGATCAAACGTTGAACGTGAATAGTGTAAAACTGCACTTATTTTGGGACGGAGGGAGTATTATGCTACAGGCATGTGTTGTCGCGAACTGAGCTCTGCTGATAAATTGACACATCACTGACTGGGGGTTGGGACCGTACGTCCAACTCTTCCTCCTGAGGAATGAGGACATGAGGATATGTGCGCGAGCTGACTTGATTTTCTTCCGAAAGACAGGGTTAATTTGATAGATCCAAGAAGCAGAGGACATGAGAGCATGCAGTGGCAGACTAGCAGCCTCCACTGCGAAGTCGCCTTCACCTCACTTCCCGAGGTCTATCCGAGGACCACATATACTTCAGGACAGGCAATCACTAGCAGCTTGCAAGTAGCAGTTCACCGTTTTCAGATAAAATGCAGACTTGACACTAGTACATTGACAATTCAAAGTCCTTCATAACTTTCGGAACGGGAGATTTTATTAGCATCTGGTGCCGCTATATGCGCGTACCTGTTGGTACGCTCATCAAGACGGATGTATGGTCTGGACCGAAGACACGGTATCATCGACCACACGACGGATAGTATCTGATTGAACTTGGCGTTTGTCTCTGTAGCTGGTAGAAGGAGTACGTACTTTATGCCGTTCGTTGCGTCGTGATGAGCCAAACTTAATGGATAAATTTTAATTTGCAGGTCGCCGGGACGGGACGACACAGCTAAGCTAGCGTAGGTCAACAAGCTGAGTGGTTTACGCTGGTGCTTGGCCCCTGTGGCCCTGCGGCTTTGGACGCCGCACTTGGGATCTCGATGCGGCATGTAGCGATGCACACCCATGACAATGCATGAAAAGAACAGCAAGCCTGCAGTGCCGTCGCCACGTTTATGCGCCTGTAGGTTGGTCAGCAGCTGGTCGGTATCCCTTGCCGCCGAATCAATTCAACAATTCTTTTTAGTGAAATTTTTGCCGCAGAATCATGAAGATTTAAGTGATCCACGTATACTATATTAAAATCCACAGACAATTCGTTCAGGCAACAGGTGGTGGCAACCAAAATCATGGTCCCAAACTCCGAGGATGATGTCCTAGCTAGGTAGGCCGCCATTCCGCCAAAGCCCTCCATGAGCCACATGCCGATGGACGCCCCACAGCCACACCATGCCTTGCCAGCGAAAGACATGCCAACGATGCGGCAACCATCCGAGGTAGAGGAGCAGCGGTGGAAAGTAGAAAAAACATCAGCCATCACTCTCATCAGAGAAAGAAAGAAAAAAACTCAAAAAGAGACGAGGGGAAAGGCACGAGACATACAAGGAGGACGGAAAGCGCGCAGCCTTTCGCGAAGGCCCATCCATCATACGTCGCCCTCTCGCAAAACCACGGGAAGAAAGAAAAACAGGTTAAGCCGGCCTCTGCCTGAGCGCGGCCGCGGCAGCAAAAAAAAAAAAAAACGGGGCCACGACGACGCACCGTCGCCGTCTCGATCGTCCGCGCGCGAGACGATCGAGGCGAAAGCGAGGCGGCGTCCGTCGTCTGCCGGCGTGCGCGTCAAGAGACCGTGATCGTCTCTCGATCGACTATCCATCGGTCGGTCGTCGTCTCCGTATGTCCTCTCGGCGTGTATCCGCCGGTGAAAGCACGGCAAATTTTGCAGGCGAAGTACTAGGAGTGGAGTAGTTTTTATTTGTGTTTGGTGGAGATGTACGGGTAGCTGCTCCCTGGCCCAGCAATGCATGTAGTACGCTGCTGGGTTTTCTCTGTTGGAAGGGGGGATTCGCACCGACGATGATGTACTGCCTCGACGTACTCTCCATTGAATCCGGAAGTTGGAGCGTATTTATGGACGACAACGACGCTCTAACCACAAGGCAGAGCTACATGCCTCCATGAGTCCATGTCTCTCGGTCGCACGGTACGTCCCAATGTGAAGTACTACTACGTATCGTAATACTAGAAGAAGAAAGCAAAATACGCCTCACAATAGACAAATGAGAAAGTATAAATTACGTACATCTCCTCCTCTCTCTGAGTGGGGTTTCAAGGCAACAAATACACATTTGGATCCATGCAGCTTCTTGTCAGGACATTAGCCATTGTTTAGGGAGCACCATATATATATATCCACGTGTTTCATCTCCAACTTGTTGTTTTCCGGGTTTTCGGATAGTCAAAGATCTTGCGCCAGAATTAGGATGAAGGGTCACATCACATAATTCAATCTTGATGATATTTTAACAACTTGTCGATGAAAATTTGTACTCCCGTCGCTCCATATATGGAATGCAACCTATTAGTAGAAAGAAAAAATAACCGTGTGTTGCAAGGGATAAAAGTGTTTTTTTATTGGCACAAAGTCAAATAGGATCTGAGCAATAAATTTAAATATTGGGATCGCTATATATATATTATAATTGAAAAAATTGATGAAAATCCTTCCTTAATTTTTGGCCGAAAGCTCATTTCTTCGTTCCATTTTAGCCCCAGCCTAGTCCACTTCCTCCCGCCGCTTGGCCTGCCTTTCTTCGCCTAGCCCACAAGTGCAGCCGTAGACCCAGCTAGCATAGCAATCGTCTTCAACCTCCGGAAGGCGGTCCTGCCGCGTGCCCATACAATGTTTGAACCGGTAAAGAAATGTTAAACTGGTACCGGTAACTACACCGGATCACTGATTTTCTACCTCCCGTAAACCAAAAAAACTTGTATAAAGTTGAGTTCTTTCAAACAAAACTAGCTGGGTGGCCCGCGCAATTGCGTGGCTAGCACCCAAACAAAATTATTTTTTTAATTATGATTTTACTTAAAATTTATTAAATAGATATCTCATTGTCTTAAGACTTTTAAAGACCAAACCTTATTGTCCCTGTGTTTCTAATTATATAGCTTTTTAAAAGTCACACCAATTGCTACCCCTTATGTCATCTCCTTCTTTATTTGCTCGCTCGATCTACCACTATTTCTATTTATTCTCCTTGGAACCTTTAAAAATTGGATCATATAGTTTTTAGAGTTACCTTCTTCTTTATATAAAACGTCGGCAACGACTGACCGTTCGAAAAAAAATAGATTTTAGAGTTTATTGTCATGTTGGGTTTCGTTTTTATAATTTCTAAACGTCCCGTCAAGTTTTTTCTCTTTATTGTCATTGAGATTTTAAAAATCGAACATAATTATCGTTTGGGTTTATTTTTACTTTCTAGAAGTCCCGCCAAACCGTCAGCGGCTTTGCCATTGTACTTCTCTATGGCTTGCCCACTGCCTCCCTTCTTTATTGTCATTGAGATTTTAAAATCGAACATGATTATCATTGTTTTTTTTAAAAAAATTTGGAAGTTCCGAACCTTTAAAAATTTTGAGCTTGTAGTTTTTAAAGTTTATTGTCTCGTCAAACGATGCCACTATGCTTCTCTACGGCCCATCCGCCGCCTACTCTTTATTGTCATTGTGATTCTAAAAGTCGAACATAACTATGGTTAGGATTAATTTTTTATTTTCTAGAAGTCCCGTTAACCGTCGGCGGCTCTACAACTATATATATACTCCTATACACCCCGTCAGCTGCTTCTCCTTTTTATTATCATTGGGATATTAAAAATCGAATATGATTATCAATGGGGTTCATTTTTTTTACTTTCTAGAAGTCCCGGCAACTGCCTTACTCGTTTGCTTCACGACTTGCTTGTTGTCCCTTCTTTCAATCGTCATTAGGATTATATTTGGTGTTTTATTAACATTTTTTATATGTCGTATCAACCGCCACCACTCTACTCCTTTATAGGCATGTTACTTAATTTATCTCGTCATATGTTTTAGATGTCTTTTCTTTCAATAGTCTTTATTTTTATCACAAATTTTAGTTATTTATAAATTGTATTCCTAATTGAAATCTTAATTTTCTTTTTCTATTTCAGAATTTATTTTTTTTCAAATTTTAATTAATATCGTATTGTGTTCTTTTAATATTTTTATTTTCTATTTTCAGTTTCAGTTGTTTCAAAATTGTATTCATACTTGAATTCTCTTTTAGTTTTTCTAATTTTGAATATTATTTTATTTTTATTCTGAATTTTAATTAATCTCGTATTGGGTTCTTATATAGATTCTTCTTTCAATATTGCTTATTTTTAATTCCGAATTTCAGCTAATTTTAAATTGTATTCCTACTTGAACTTTTTTTTTTGCTAATTTCGAATTTTATTTTTATTTTTATTCAAAATTTTAATTAATCTCGTATTGGGTTCTTTTATGGACTCCCCTTTTAATATTTCTTATTTTTAATTCCGAATTTCAGCTATTTTAAAATTGTATTCCTACTTGAACTATCATTTTCTTTTCTAATTTTAGATTTTATTTTATTTTATTTTGAATTTTGATTAATCTCGTATTGGGTTCTTATACGGAAACTTCTTTAAATATTGATTATTTTTAATTCCGAATTTCAGCTATTTTTATATTGTATTTCTACTTGGACTCTCCTTTTCTTTTTTTTTCTTTTTCTCCAATTAATGTGGGAATTTCTAGCCCCCACAGCGAGCGTGGTGGCTCCTTTCAAAGCTGTTTTAATAATATAATAGATTGATAAGCATTGTAAGACCATAGTTAGTGTACTTGTAGTTATCTATTATGAGCAGCTCCTGCCTATTGCAAATCTTGAAGACAAATTGGTCACCTTGCTTATCATCGCAGTGATTAGTTAACTACGATCTTGTCAAGCATTCTCTTATTGACTTTTGACATGTGACTTATCGATTTGCACAACTATCGAATTTGACCATGATAAATGTTGAGCTCAATTTTCTCGTTAGAAATCTCAAGGGTGCATAAATCATAATATATAATAAATTTTATGCTAGCAACACACTGCCTGCACATCTTATTGTACTTGAGTAACACAACTCTTGCATGTAGTATGATTAGTGTCACCATGACACTGTCCTACTACATTAATTTGCCATTTTGTTGAGTTGATTGTAACCCTAGCAAACATAGCAGGGATAGAAGCGATCTTAAGTAGAAGTATTAACAATAAAGTCATGTACTTTATATGACTTGTTTGTTTGATGTGTAATTTCTCCTTTTACATTGAAATCACAAAAATCTTTGGATGATCTCCTAATCTAATGGCAAGTTGAGGCCAAGGCCCCCAGTCGATTTTACAGTGAGTGGAGGCAAATGCGCCCTCGATAATTTTTATTTGTTAGTCAACTTAAGCGGTACATCTTGCTGAAATTTTTACATTTTGGTCTTTTTTGGAAACTTATTTTACAAATGGACCCCTAGAAAACTTAAACCAGGAATGGTCCCTTTTGGGGCGCCAGAGTGGCTGGCGCCGTCCCCCAACATGACGGCGCCAGCCACCATGGCGCCGTGCCCGTGCCACCGTGGTAATAGGGCCGACGTGTAAGGGTGACGTGGCAAAAGAGGGCGCCGTGGCAAAAGAGGGCGCTAGCCACACTGGCGCCGCCCCCCAAGCACGGTGCCAGGAAGGCTGGCGCCGCCCTCCCCCCGCCCCCTCGGCCTTCCGCCTCGGGCGAGAGGCTGGCGCCGCACCCCCTAGTACAGCGCCAGGGTGGCTAGCGCCGCCTCCCGCCCCCCTTGTCCCCCCCTCGGCCTTCTGCCTCGGGCGAGAGGCTAGCGCCGCCTCCCGCCCCCCTCGGCCCCCCACATCCTTCTGCCTCCGCGCGTCTGCTGGTGCCGCCCCCCCTAGCGCAGCGCCAGTATGGCTGGCGCCCCCCTCCCAACCTCTAGGAAAACAACCGCTAGCTCCACCGAATCCGAAGAGGAGAGAGATATTCATATGCATATACCGAATGCATTAATAAATTAAGAGAAAATTCCTTACATACCATATATATTTATATATAATTTTCTCAATTATATATATTCCTTATGTACCCCTATTTTTTCTCAATTCCTTACGTACCCTAATTAATTAGCTGACAGTTGCAATAATTAAGAAACTAGCGTGGGACTGTGGGTGCGTGTTATATTATACTACTTGTATACTGCATTCATCTCTGGATGTGCTAGCTAGTACAATCTGCTTATCTTCCTATATGCATTAGCATCATAGCATGTGACACCTGAGGTGACCAAGACTTGCATGAAATTAGCATGGCATTCGTACTCCCTGCTTTTCCCACGGAGCGATCAGGGGCAGATCCAACATGGGTGCAAGGGGACTCAAGTCCCCCCTACATCCAAAAGACCCATGGATACCCTAGAGCATCTCCTTCGATTTTTTAACATAAATGATAAACTAAAGGTCTCTATATGGCTGGAGGTTGAAGAAACTGCATAATTGAGCTCCCTAATTTTTTTTTATTCCTGGATCCGCCCCTGGGAGCAATCATTTCGGGAAACCTAGATAGCTAGCTACTAGTGGTGCTGGTGTTGTGGTGCACTGGAGCGTGCGCATTCACTTCAATCGTACACACCAACGTTAAAAAAACAAGCCCAGCCACCGAGCCACGTGGTGTCATACTGGTGTATAGACCAGGTGCAGAACCAGGAAGTAGCAAGAGTGAATCCCAAGATGTACCGCTTAAGTTGACTAACAAATAAAAATTATCGAGGGGGGCATTTGCCCCTACTCACAGTAAAATTGACTGGGAGCCTTGGCCTCAACTTGCCATTAGATCAGGAGATCATCCAAAGATTTATGTGATTTTAATGTAAAAGGAGAAATTACACATCAAACAAACAAGTCATATAGAGTACATGACTTTATTGTCAATACTTCTACTGAAGATCGCTTCTACCCCTGCTATGTTTGCTAGGGTTACAATCAACTCAACAAAATGGCAAATTAATGTAATAGGACAGTGTCATGATGACACTAATCATACTACCTGCAAGAGTTGCGTTACCCAAGTACAATAAGATGTGCAGGCAATGTGTGTTGCTAGCATAAAATTTATTATCTATTATGATTTATGCACCCTTGAGATTTCTAACGAGAAAATTGAGCTCAGCATTCATCATGGACAAATTCGATAGTTGTCCAAATCGATAAGTCACATGCCAAAAGTCAGTAAGAGAATGCTTGACAAGATCGTAGTTCACTAATCACTGCGATGA